TAGACAGAGCTGAGTAAAATCTCTTCGCTTGATCTATTTGTCTTTATATTTAATTGGACTGTAGTGATATCACCTGTACTGAATTGCGGAAGCAATTGTACTTGTAGTTCTTTAGTTGTCACTATACAGGTCCTTGGTTTTATGTTTTTTATTCTGTTGTAGTATACATTTACAACATTTTCATCAAACCCCGATACTATGTTCTTTTGTATCCAGGGCTCTTGGATTAAAACCACTAGGTTTTGTTTTTTTGTTTGCGCATTGTAAAGGCTGTTACTTATTAATGAAGTAGCTCCGATACAATGGTGCATATTTATTTGCTTTACATAAATTTTGTTATTCTGTTGCATATTGGAAACAGAGAATTTTGATTAATTTATGTATAATGAACTCGCATTTAATTGTTTGTTTATGCAGAATGTTCACTGGTTTTTGCGATTTGCTATTTGTCTTCCATGTGTGGCTCACTTACCAGCGTATCTACGCTTGGTTTTACAGTATTATCCACAGGTGCTACATTTGCATCAAGCTCCATAGGCTGAGCACTGGCACTCTTCATGGTATGTTCCCCTTGCACCGCATCACCTTCAGGCTCTGCTTGGTTTACAAAGGTTTCTGGTGAGTTTTCATCCAGAGTTTGTGTTGTATTTGGGTTGTGAATAACTGTCGTATCAGTGTCTTCAATGTCCATTTCATTTGAGCTTGGGGTCTCAATCTCCACTTCAGTTTCGGCAGCTTTGGTTGGTTTTGAGATGTCCTTAAACACAACTGTGCCAAAACCAAAGAAGAGAGTAAAATCACACTCTTTTAAAATAGCATATTGATCTTTATCTACCGCAAAAGCTATGGAAACTATATTGTTCTCATTTTTGCTGGTTAGAATTGTCCATCGTGTGACATCGACATTTGAATTCATTTGATTCAGCATTGTACACACTTGTTCAATCGTAAATGGACAATGAGTGAAATGACCAAGAACTTTTTGTGGTTGTGGTATTTTATCGTTATCAACAACCACCAGTTTCATGCCATCCCATTTAGGTGGTGCATATTGTAAGGCACTCGAAAGCCATGTTCTGGCAGCTGGTGTCGAACAACGTACACGAATGTGTCCACGTATGTATTTAACATCCGTGAACGTGTGAATATTTCCTTGTGGATTCTCTAATTGTGCCATCAAGAAAGCATTTAACATTGTTCTGATTTGGTCGTGCTTTTCTTTCGTGAACGGTACCACCACATCTTTTACTGGCATGTCAACAATGGCTACTAAGAGGTTTGCATCACTAACGACACTCGCTGCGGTCTGTTTTGGCATTGATTTAACATTTGCCGTCCCATCCGCTTGCAGAGGTGCTGTGTGTACTCTACCTTTCGAGTCATTTCGTTGTACCTTGCTCCCTCTAACGAGGTCAGGCGGTGTGTCACCTGCCACACGACCTCTTTTTAGAGTTTCAATGTTACCAACCTCTTGTGATGTTATAGTAGAGGTTTCGGGTAAGTTTTGTGGTGTGGAGCGTTCTGATTGGCTTGTTTGTTTGTTTTGCATTTTAAATATGTTTGCCTGTGATTTTTGATAACGCTGACCGCCACGTCGACGTGGTTTAAATTGTTCCTGGTGAGCGTTACCACTTGTATTCACAGGTGTATTTGTGTTTGTCGCTGGTTTTGCGCTTTGTGTGTGTGTGTTTTGCTTCACGTTCCATTTTTTGTTGCCTTTATATTTGGCATTAGACGGAGCAACAACGTTTGTTTTTGTACTTTGTGAAGTATTTTGTTGTACCGAAACGGTTCTTACTATACCAGTGCTGGCATTTATGACCGTTTGGGTACGTGTGCCTCTCACCGCTGCAATATTTGTTGTATTGCTAGCTGGTTCATTTGTATGCACACTTCTCAAAGTCGAACCAGACGCTGCAATGAATCTCATTGCGGCTTGTCTGTTTTGGTATTCTTCCAAACTAATTTTGCTGCTTTCGGGTTTTGAAATCCGGCGCAATGTTGATTTGGAAGTGGGTGTGCTAGTGTTGCCACTCTTGGGCGATTGTAGCAATTTTTCTTCATCCGATAGTGTAATCGTATCGGGAATTTGGCTTTTATTCGCGCTCATATTTTTGGTTTGCGTAATTTTATTTTATTTGAATTTGATTTGTTTTGATTTATTGTATAAAATACAATTATATTCAATTCAAATAAAATTTCCAAAAATAGCGATGAAAAAATCAAACGTGTGAAGTAAGTATGCTGGGTTTGCGCTCTTGAATAACTTTTATCTTCTAATCTCACCAAAAGATGTCGCTGTTAATTGGTGGATTTTAAATTTTGGCGCGATATAAACAACAATTTAATGTTGGGTTATGTCGCATGCACAAAACTCAAAAGATGGCGCTGTAATTGGTGTGTATAAAAATTGGCGCAAAGATAACCCACAATTTAATGTGAGGTTAAGATTGCTAGCACAAAAAACACACAACACAATTCCAATTTTCACACACCAGATTTTCACTAAATTAGCCTTTTGGCTTTAATTTCACTTTACTTACGTGAAGAGTGATTTTTCCTTTAAGGAAATATAATTTTTGTGCTCTTTTGTAATTTGTGTGTATATGAATCGGCGCAAAAATAATCCACAATTTAATGTGAGGTTACGATTGCTGGCACGAAAAAACACACAACACAATCACAATTTTCACACACAAGATTTCACTAAATTAGCCTTTTAGCTTTGATCCTCACTTTATTAACGTGAAGCGTAGATTTTCCTTTAAGAAAATATAGCTTTTGTGCACATCGGTTTTGTTTTCCGCTCGAAATTTTTATTTTTTGCACAAAATGTTGCACCGTCACATACGAGTGCTTTTTTTTACGTCTGTCTCTATTGACAGCTGTCAAACTACTAAATTAAACGTTAATTTCTGTCATTTCATTCCGAAGTTTCTCGTTTTCCAAATTTTTCAGTAAATTTTCGGATAAAAATGTTCAAAGAAAACAAACATAAAACAATGTCCGCGCAAACAAACTCAAGAGCTATAAAAATGTGAATAATAAATTATGTTCTTATTTATAAGGTCAAATTCGTAAATTGTACAGGCGCGTGTGTTTCACAATTTTATAAAGCTAGAATTCTTCAAAAATTTCATAAATGACACAGTGTTATTCAGTAAAATTGATATAAAAGATTATCGATTTATTCAGTGGCGTCAATTGAATTTCATAATTAAAACAATGAAGTGCTGTCTAATTGTTGTAAATATACTTTGCTGTGCGGTATCCTTCACCGTCGCCGTTGATTTGACAAATGTGGAAATAACGGAAGAGCTGATAACCACAGGAGCGACTTGTTTATTGCATAACACTGTCTCCACACCCGTAAATGCACTAGTTACATCCGCCATTTCAAAAGCGTAATTTCATATTCGAATAGAAAACAAAATCAGCTGATTTCATACAGAAACATTGATTTTTGATATAATTTAGTGCCGTGGAAGGTATTTTACTATACAATCAGACTCATAACTTGGAGATAGCAATGCGATTAGCCGCAGAATGCGCGTTTGAAAGGTTTGAATCAATAACATTGACAAATTGAACACTTTATGCATTTTTCTCACTCAATTTAAATTAGTGCGGTCAACTTTGCAAATTCTGCTCTTTGTGCGACTTCAACAGGCTTGGACATTGTAACCGATGTTTGTTGTCACGGAGTGAAACCACACGAAGCAATCATGGAACGGTATAAATTGTTTCATAATAATTAATTTGCAAAATTGATAAAAAAATCGCCCATTTTTGTCCGTTAGAACCAATGTTGATAGGGTGGCGCGTCGGATTTTAAATCATCCAAAAGGCAAAACAGCACGAAATGTGATTGAGAAAACAAACATCATCATTACTTGGAAGTATGGACCGATACCCGGATATATTGCCACAGCAATCACACAAGCGTTAGTAATTTTCAGAAGATTAACCGTGTGAAGTGATTGAAATTCATTCAACTTTCTAGAACTGCCGAAGGTGTGAAGAAATATAATCGATCTGGGAGCGCCATGGAAGCAACTGAGGCTGCCGCAACACATGCTTTTAAAAGGTATACCTCATTATTTATGATGAATTATCGTCGAAGTCACTCGAAGAATAATTTGAGATTTCATCTCAATTTCAATCAATTAGCGTCGCCAAAGTGTTTAAATTAATTTTTGGTCTGACCAAAAGTGGCGTTGGTCTAAGTTTTGATCTTCTTGAGGGAAAAGGTGCCAGAAGATCTTTCCGTCGAAGGTTAATACTGTTAAATTTGGAAGAAAAACACATTTTTAACATACATTTTTTCCCGATTTTCAGAACTGGAGAAGCTTTAGGAGCTATATTGGACTAAAATATTTTAGCTCACGCTCAAATGACAAAGTTTCTATAACAACTGTTGGCAATAATAATATAAATATTCTTTGTTCTCCAAATATATGGTTCTTCTTTTGATTTGTGACACTAATCGATCATTTGATAGAACTAAAAAATTAAAAAGAAGTTTATTTGGATTAAAACTTTGTTTCCATTAAAATTTGAATCATTTGTTTATGACTTCTCTAAATTTTAAGAAGAAAAAAAGAGACATTGATAAAAAAATTAGAAAAAAACTTATTAAAAAGTGTTTTGAATAAGTCGACCGAATTATCGATAGAATGCGAGTGACGATAAGAGTGTGTTTGTTGTGAATCGGTGTATTTTTTCGCTCAGCACGCGCAAATGAATTAATTACGTCAATGAGACGGCAAAATTCCCAATCGTAATTCCAAGGGAATTAAGCTGTTATAACTTCATCATCCATTCCACTGCAAATCTGACGAATCAGAGCGACTGGAAATCTTTTCACGCTTTTGAGACAGCAAATTCGGAGGAAGTGATCTATATTTGGTCCCAAAATACTAACCGCACATAGAAGAGTATATATGTCTTATACACAAACAAGATTTCAATTCATAATTTGGTAATTTCGCCAATCAAAACAGCTGAAATGAATGAATGGACTTTTTTTTATTCTACACACAGAGAAACAGAGAGAGAGAAAGAAAGAGAGAAAGAGAAAGAGAGAGTAAAAAGACAAAATATTTGAATCTCGAGAGCATTTGGAAGGCAATCAAAGTCTTCAAGTACTTATCAACAGTTTATTAAATGAACTTCATTTGTTACTTTCTACCCAAAAACATGTATGTATAAATTTGACCTCGACCCTGCGACACAAATTGAACAATATCAAATATATTGAACCACATCAATAACTTGTTTATTTACACTGCTCTATATGCACTGCTGCAATGTTCTCACCCAATAAATTATATTAATTAATGACATCATTGGATTTTACGTTTCATTACATTTCTGAATCTTATCAATAAAAACTGTTGACTCTCGAAGGAGAAAGATTCACCACGAAAACTTTTTTCAAAATCAATCATATCGCTCAAATTAAAAGGAACTTAGGAGAAAACGCCCACTTTTATGCTAACCAAAAACAAAAAAAAAAGACAAACAAGTGAACAAACCGAAGGATCGGATGTTTTCTGGAGTTAAACGAAATGTAAACAACAATTGAAGGAGACGATGTTGTAGGTCTTTGTATCACTTTCTATGGAAACCAAATTACTGTTTAAAATTGTGTGCAATTATGGTTCATCACAAGATCAGTCAGTGATCAATCAATCAAACCATTTCTTTTTTTTGCCGTTTTTTCTTGACAAAAACAAACCAGTTTTGTGATCGTTTGAATAAAGAAGTTATCATCACAGTATATTCTTGCGTAAGGTTAGTGTTTCACATAAATATCTCCTTTCTCTCTTTTGTGGACGCATACTGGTTTTTTTTTGCAAAAAAAAAAAATAGTCAAAACATAAGGAAGTATAAGCTAAGGCACCATGTATACGGAAGAAATGACAATATTTTCCGGCAATGTGTGAGGTGCATTCACATTGATTTGTACTTTTCTTGAAATAAAACGAAGAAGAAACAAATCGTATCAAAAAATTACTGATGAGTCAAAAAGGTTACGAAAAGGTTTAATAGCAACTTTATCTTAATTAGAATTTAACAAATTTTGAAGCAGATTTTAAACGAGACCATTCAATGAATGCATGATTTGTGGGTTTTTTATGATAATTTTTTTATTAAAAAATGCACACATTTTTCATATATAGGGCCTCACAGGGCATCTCATTTACTATCTATGACCTCAAAGCACTTTAAAGCCGGGTTTTTTTTGTTTTCTATTTTTTTTTTTTTTCATAAAAAAAATCGTTCGCAATAATTTCTTTTACTCAGAGATTCTCCGAAAAACTCTGGCGTCACTTTGCTAAAAAAACTTGTTTTTCTCTCTCTCGCATCCGAACATCAAATGGTACGTAAAGCAAGTTGTTTTAAACGATCAAGAATGCTTTCAATCGCCAAAACATCCGCAGCAGCATGCGATTCGGGTAATCGCCGTCTTTGAATATGATATACTGTACGAGAACCGAAGCAAACTCTATAAATATAAACGAATCGTATAAATTGCGCTCGTGTTCAGTAGCTATGCTATAAAAGTTCGTCCGCAGCACACAATATACATATATGTCAGTAATGTGCGAGCTACATTTCCCTGGGGGGGGTTGTTTCTCAAAAACTAAAAATTCTCTAATTTGAATACCAAATTTCGTTTTTTTTTGCTTTTCACTTTTTCGGCGAAAATCCCTAGCAAATCGAAAGAATTTTCTCCGAAAAACCTAGGAAATGACGATAAAATCGTTTTTTTTTTCTTTTGCTCTTCACTTTTTTGGCGAAAATCCCTAGCAAATTGAAAGAATTTTTCTTGCGCCAAAAAGCCCTAACAAATTCGAATAATTTCGGCCAATATCACGGGAGGGAGGGTAAACCCCCCTACCCCCCTTCGCACATTACTGAATACTGATATATGTTGATAAGATATAATTCAAGATGAGAGATGAAATGAGCAATGTCGTTTGCTCAGTTAAGTTTCGGTGATGTCAGAGAGTTGTTGACGCTTCTCGTTTCGTGTGTTTGCATTAAAAGAATTGCCGATAGAAGTAAAGTTCATACGAAATTCATTCAATTTAATTGAAAATTAAAATAGTTGTTTCTTTGGTTTCATAGTTCACAATGCCACGTAGCGGTTATAAAAATCTAGTGAATACATCATATTTCGAACCACAAACATTAGAGATAGACAAGCGATATTCAATTGATGACGATGATGCATTGGACGAAGTGCCGTTGTTCACACAAAAGAACAAAACAATCATCGAAATTGACCCTCCCAGCTTACATTTTGAAAAAGCACACATACAACCAGATCGATCCTACACTATGAGCATTTTGCTTTTGACATTCTGCATCGTTTTCGGCACATGGTGGATTATCGCTAGATTCGGATACAATTTTTGATTGATTTTGTTTGAAAATTTCAAAATTAATACGCTGAAACAACGAAGTTCATTATTTCAATATTTTCGTCAGTTGAGAGGGGGCGAAACAAAGTTTAAACATTGAGGGAATGGAATATGAATAAATCTTTTGCACTGATGACATTTAAAAAAAATACATTGTTTTAATTACTTCAAAAGTTCGCATGCTCTAAATAGAACTGGTTAAAAATATATGAATAAATGTTTAAATTTGCTTTGATTGGCTACTTTTACATTCATTGCTAAAGATCGTCGCGGACGAACCAAATATACTGATTAAATAAACATAGCCATACTACTACATGTATAAGTCTAGCGGATTGTATGTTATGGTTGTTTTATAGAAGTGATAATAATGTAAATATTTCGCAGTTGAACGCGTCGTTTATTGCAATTTGACTGATTGGAGTGTGTGTCCGAAAAAATGATACAATTACTTGAATTTAAACACATTGCGCAATGGTTTTCGAGGAAAAATAAAATTTACTGAATGTGAAACCAGAACGATAAACATGTTGTGATTTCTTTATTTTTACATCTTATTATTTTCACTAAAAAAGTGTTGAAAAAAAAATTCGCTTACGAAAATTTTATAAAAAGATATTCCGGTTCGGCAAAAAGAAACAAAAACAGATACACAGCAAAAGATAGTAAACAGAATCGTATTTCATTTCTGATCATGTTTAGTTGGATTTTTTTCGGCGTATTTGTAGTGTCGGTGCTGTTTGGCGGTAAGTTCAACATCTGTTGATTCATGGTTTGTATTGTGATGAGCTCATCTGCTTCATTGATGAGGTGCGAGAGCTCACTAGTCCCCGAACTTCTGCGGTGCCAATAACAGCTCTGGGCAACCACGCCAATTTGTTAAACAATTTTTTTTTACGTTTCCAAACGTGATTTTTAGTTTACTCATACATAATGTATGAATGTCGATAATACAATCGAAATTGTCACACTCTATACTCGCATTCATATTCAGGGAGTAAAAACATGATTTAATGGATGAGAATTTAAATCATTTACTCTGAAACGATTATTTTTGTTTATTTTACTTGCCATTCCTTTGGAAATTCAAGCAATTTGCATATCATCAATTTAAATAATTGTTTCTTAAGTTAGCTCCATGAGCTATGCTCTGTGATGAATATCCATTGACGATCTCCATTTTCTAAAGGAATTTTATTTTTTCAAAACGTTTTTTTCAGTTTGTTACAGCTATCAATGGCACTTACTAGTGCGGTGATAAGACCAACCAAATCCTGAAAATATACTTTTGTTACGATACCAATAGCCCGCTTTGTCGATCGCAAGATATAAGAAAAAGATTGATTTTCCGAAAAGAAATTGAATGGGTCATCGTATTTGGAAGTGTGTTGAAATAAATTGATCAATAGAATAGACGCACACATGTTTAACAATTCTATTCCTTAAAAAAATATCTCTGATTAGTTGAATTCAATGATAAAGAGTCTTACAGGAGTAAGACGGACTTTTTCGCACGGTGGTAGATGCGTATTTTATCAAGCTATATATATTCGGCATCGAAATATTCTTTAATTTAATAGCAGATGTACTCGCAAAAGATTTTTCACACTATCATGATGAACTCATTTGTATGAAATTTGAAAGTATTCTATTTTCTAACAAAACACTATAAAAAATATGTCTGACGTTAATTTTGCCATGAAAATTATTTTTGAAACACTTTTCTAACAAATTTTGCGTACGACGTATAACGTACGACGTACAACGTACGACGTATAACGTACGACGTACAACGTACGACGTATAACGTACGACGTACAACGTACGACGTATAACGTACGACGTACAACGTACGACGTACGACGTACGACGTACAGATTAACAAAAACCATGCTCAAAACGGCCTGATTCGGGTTCTCTGACCTCAGAAACGTCCAGAAAACATGTTTCTGAAGTTTTCAAAATTTTGACCGATTACAATACTTTTCACCTTACACTATGTGTGCGGAAAAGTAAAAAGAGATCAAAACAGCGAACGAAAAGAAAAGAGAGAAGCAGAGAGATTTTGTCATCAAAATAATAAGAAACATGTGCGTCTATCAGAGCATATACTGAGCATAGATATATATCCGGGATATTTTGTGAGTATCCGATATTTATCGCAGCCAGACATTATAATGGAGTGAAAACAATAGAAGTGATTGTTATAGATCTAAGTATAAAAACATTTACATTACTACAATCACTATAACAATAACTTCTATTGTTTTTACTCTATTTCAAAGTCTGGCTCCAATGAATATCGGATACTGACAAAATATCCAGGATATATATCTATGCTTAGTATATGCTCTGGCGTCTATCTATCAGACGATAAGAAACATTTAGAGAAACTGGCACGTTTTCAAAACCGATTCAAAGTTGTACATCAGTTGAAAGTGAACGGTGATTAAATAAATAATTTTTTTTCTGTGAATATTGCAAAATAAATGAAGTGGATATGGACGGATAGTGCTACCTCAACGTAGTGAAGAAGTGATACTGATCGAACAAAGTGATATTACTACGCAAAGAACCAACAAACTATAACGAGTCAACATGTGCGGCTGATGACGCTAACCAATTAGACAATTTAATAAAAGTAGATTACATTAAGAAATATAGATGTTCTAGTTTATTTGATTTGCTATATCTATTACTTTTCCGCACACACCTAGTATTGGAATCGGTCGAAAAATTAACACCCTCAACCCATATAATTCATTTGCGGAGTAATTTTGACGATGGCGGGACTGTGCGGAGTTTGGCGGAGATGACATACAAACTCTGTGTGTACGAGGGTAATAGCACTTCTATGTATGTGTATCATTCTTACGCAGATGATTAGTAACTTAGCTGTGTGTACGACTACTAAGATGTTCGTTTGGACAAAATAAATCTATGAACAGCAAATTATGCTGTTGCACTCGTACACACAGCATTTGCATGCTATCTCCGCCGAACTCCGCACAGTCCCGCCATCAACAAAATTGCTCCGCAAATGAGTTATATGGGAAAAAACATGTTTTCTGGGTGTTTTAGGAGCCAGGGAACACGAATCTAGCGTTTTTTCGATGTTTGATTAGATTTTGAGCAACTTTGGTTGACAGAGTGAAGTGTCATGTCCGGTGTGATGCCCATGGCCATCCATGGGAAAAATTCAATTTTTCTTCCAAAAGTGATATTTAATGTATTCTTAAACATCCAAAAATATGTATTGGGGGTTTTTGGGTACGAGAAAATCGAATATGACGTTAGTTTTGCGATACAAATAACTTTCGACACACTTTTCATACAAAAATTTCAAAAAAATTGAATTTATGTATGAAATCCGTGTCTGTATGATATCGTAATGAGCTGAAACTTTGCACAGGTTATTTTTATCACACAAAAATACCATTCCGAGAGTTTGAAGAAATTTCAACGCATATTAGGGTTACCTGCCGAACAAAATTTTGGATTTTTCGCGCAAAAACGAAATTTTGTATGGGAAGTACCCTTAATATGCATTGAAATTTCTTCAAACGTTCAGAATGTTAACTTTTTGTGGAAAAAATAACCTCTGCAAACTTTCACATGATTACGACACCATATAGGCATGGCTGCGATACAAAAATTCCCATTTTTAGTAGTTTTTGTATGAAAAGTGCTTCGAAAATTATTTGTATCGTAAAACTAATGTCAGGTTCAGTTTTCTCGTGAATTCTTTGAGTAAAAGATTTGTAATAAATGCATGTTGTGGATCACAGTGCGGAAAAGTTCATCTTACGGATGTAAGACATTTTATTTCCAATGTATTCTCTCGGTTCAATATTACATTTATGCACTTTATTTTTCAGTTACTACGACGTTTTTTTTTTCGTTTAAGATAAAATATGAAATTGAGACCTGAAAATACCAGCAAAGTGTAATTTCTGCAGAATAACAAAATCAAATGATCATAATGCCACCTTTTCGGCGTGATGATGTGATGCTCATTGTACCAGATGATGAAGTCATCGAATTCGGTACCATAATTGAGCCATTACCTCAAAGCGAATCAACGGAAAGACAGAGAATTATATTGACAAGCCAAGAGAAAAAAGAATTTATTTGTTTTTTTCTTTTCGGATTCACATGCATATGTGCGTTAGTTTTTATACCTAATTTAAGCAGATTTACATATTAAAAAATTGCCATAAATAAATAAAAACAAATTATTATATACGATATTTGTATTAAATTAAATGTTCAATAGAACCTTTCGCTTTTTGCCGCTCAAAAAATGATAACAGTTTTAACGACTTTTGAACTTCCTTTTGACTCACTTTTCATGTAATTAACGATCTTTTTTTTTGTCGAATTCAATGATGAATTAAAGTTTGTTCTCTTCGAGGAACTAATCAATCAATCGATTTATTTACGTTTCATGTTTTTCATTTCTGTCTCTAATCTAACACTTTTTTCTGATTTAGTAGATTTTTTAAACTATGACCTTTTCGTCCGAATCCGTTCTCGAGTGTAATAAAAAAAATCTTCTTATCTTTTTATCAGTTTTTTTCTGTGTTGTCATAGGAAGCGAATAAATTATTCTAATTCTTATGCGAAGAAACTGATTCTTATTTTCGCTCGACAATGTAGTTTATCGCACCATATATGCCGATTTTTTATTCAATTTTAAATTTTATTTTACTCTGAGTTTTAGCCGAATCGGAGCCTCTGATGCGAAAGTAATTTCATTCGACATCAAACCGTCAGAGAATTTTAATCGTTTTCTACACAAAGTTGAATGTGAAAAGAGAGAAATAGCGCACAGTGTGTATTTCATACAGATTGATTCAATAAAAGGGAATGAAGTTTAACTAAAAGTTCGATCTAAGAAGTGCGTAAACCGAATATTAAAAAAAGATATAAACTAAAAAATGTGAAAGTGTTGATCTGTAACTAAATAATTTAATTGTGAATATTGCAGAATATCAAGTGATCACGACCACAATGCCATCTCAAAGCTGTGATGAAGTACTCCTGATTGAATCGGATGACACAGAACCAATCACACTTGAAAGATTAATACGTAATTTACCATCAACAAAATCAACCCAGTCATTACATAGACAAGAACGAGAGTTATATCATTATGTAGTTTGTTGTTATGGCATTAAATTGATTATATTTCTATTAATAATATTAATTGTAATTTTTGGAAAATTCTTTAATTTTCATTTGAGTTTTCAGTGAACATTTTGATTAATACAAAGTAGTTCCAACTTGAATAAACGTAAATATTTTTGTATTCAATTATCTGTAAAATGTGAAAAAAATTTAAAATCTTTTTAAAAAAAAGAAAAGTAGAAAATCAGTTTAATTTTTTGTTCTTATAAAATACCGTTTTATTCATTCAATATACAAATGTTTATCTTAACCTAGTCTATTTTTAATAAATAAAAAATTCTTTATTTCCTGTGAAAAAAAAAAGAGTCCCTGCATTTAAATTGTTTGTCTTTCGATTCAAAAATCTACGAGGTAACATATTGCGCCATTTGTCGTTTAATGGTGGCGAGTTCAATTTTCAATTCCATATTTTCGCGTTCAAGAAATGCTGCCCGAATGGCAATTTCATCTTCTTTGATGCGTCGACGATCTCGTGATTTTTTGGCGGCTGCATTATTTTTTCGGCGTCGTTCATAGTATGCATTGTCTTTGACTGGTTTTTTACCATTTCCATCGGATGAATCTGACGGACAATTCACTTGATTGGCCAGTTCTTCTTGTCGCTGTTGTTGTTGTTGCTGTTGGAATTCCATTTCTGAATTTTGTTCACTTTCACTTGTGTAACTTTTTGCGGTTGTTCGTCGCATTTTTGGATTGGTAATTGTTGGCCGTCCACCATTGGCCGCATGAATTTGTTCGAGCATTTGTTGTCGAAAAACATTGAATCGTTCGCTGGATAGACGATCGGCCATTGAATTCGACGTTGAAATCGTTCCGAATGGGCTAGCCAGTGAATCACGCGGATATGCTTTGAATGGTCGTGCCAATTTTCCATCACGCCCCATTATCATTGGGTACGGTGAATTTGATTCAGGTGATGATGGTACACTTGGTGCCGTCACCGACGCTGGAATACTTTGTAATTTTTGTTGTAATGCCACGGCATGTAGCATGTATGGATTCATTTCGTCATCATTTGAACTAATCAATTGCTCTTGCATGTAATGATGACGAGGCTTTAATGGTGGTAAACTCTGTTTTACGGCTACATATGGATATTGTGATGAGATTTGTGACGATTGATAACCATTTGTTGGTGTGTCCGATCGTGACTTTTTTCGCATCGAATTTGATGTTGGCGAATCATTTTCCAAACTTGGCGATGTTTCAGCGAATGACGATGAATTGTATGGTGATGGTGTTTTACGCGTTTCAACCGAATCACAACGAAATGAAATCGACACCGAATCACGACGTGATAAATCGATCGGATTGTCACTACTATCACTGGTATCCATGTAACTGTTATTCATTTTTGAATCTGTCGTTGAACACACTGAACTATTACTTTCGAAAAATTACTTTTTTTCGTCAAATTTTGTTCTTTTTTGTAAAAAAAATTTCTTCCAAAATGAATAATTATTGAAGAGAGAAGACGTGCGCTTGCTATGACTTCAATAGCTAAACTGACCAACTATGACCGTCGTTTGCTAACTGCAAAGGCTTAAGCACCAACCATCGATCAACCAATCACATGCATGCAATGCACACACGCACACATACACGGTGTGGTTGTGTGCATGTCGTACGAATGCAAAGACATGGGCAACAATGGAATTTGAGCCCTATACTGTGTCTAATATTATGAAAACAATGGCAACCATTTAGCAAAATTTCATGTTAAAAATCTATTTAATATGAGAGAAGGCAATGCGATAGGAAGAGACAGAAAAAAGTACCATTCTTACTTACGCATTCATTACGATCCGTTTCGCATTCGCAATATTTTAATCCTTTTTACAATCTGCATATATATATAGAGAGAAGGGAAGAATCATTGGAAAAAAATAAAATAAAAATGTCTCTTTTCGACCTGCATTGGAAATGAAATGCAGTTTGAGAGATCGTCAATAGCTCAAGCTGTGAAGAAGGTCAACATGTTATTGCATGCATTATTTTTAAATGAAGGTTTTTTTTTATTGTAGCATGATCTAGTTTTTCTTTAACTCTTTCGCAGAAGTACTACAATTTATGCATGACAATTGCATATAAAGTGAAGGCGGACTCAAAAGAATACATTTTTGAACTTTTTTCATCGAAAATAACAAAAATACGGTCGAAAACGAAACTTGCCGATTTTTCGAATCGATCAGGGACTTGCGAATCGACAGCATTTGGAACATTAGATCCAAGATAGATTGAATTTTGCGTAAATTTGCGGAAAAATGAACGCCAACGAACTTTCTGAAGACATTTAACGACTTTTCATTCTTTTTACAGTCGACTGTGTCTCTTTCTTTATATTTGGCCACTTGTTTTCCTCTCTCCCTCCTTCTCTTCGTCTAAATCTTTCTTTCTTACTTTTTATCTCTCTCCCTCCAAAAAAAACTTCATTTTTTCGTATCATTAAAATCGTTGTATAACAAATTATAACATTTTCAATCTTAAAATATCGTTACATGCGTTCACTTTACATAATTTTGCATGAAATGTTTTCATGGACTTTTTTCTCTCTTAAATTTCCGGTTTTGTTAATCTCACTAAACCAAAATGGCTTAAATCATAGAAAAAATGAACAAAATTCGATAAAAGGCTATCTTTTACATTTTCCGTACGCACCACTGGCAAAAAATTAAGTTATAATATTCTGTTTTTTGGTTTTCTTATCAATATGTTTCTTAACTTTATCTTTCGAAGCTTCGTTCCTTTTGACATGGAAAGAACTCATTCTTTCTGTATATTTCACAAGCAACAGTTCAGTGATTTTGTTTGTTTTCCATGAATAAAGCTTCCAAAAAAGAATCTGTATTATGAATATTGTTATTTGTTTTGAATATATTGAATAGTACTAATCGGAGATTTGGCAATTATGTCATAGCATAACGGATTCAGTGATTTAAGCCTATTGACGAGGCCACAGATTACGAAACAATTCACAAATGTTCAATTCAATTTGTGGCTTTCGGTACGTGTATTAAAACACACAAGCTATGACTGTGCATAAAATGTCTTGGCCAAATTTCTAATTACATTTTCTGTCGTCTTCGCCAAATTTCATTATAAATCTGGTAAATGCAATAAATGCTATTGGGTTTGGGCACTTGATTTAGAGTCTGGAATTTGTAAATTATTGCTCAATTGCGTTCGACTAATGTGAGCTCATACTTTCTCGTAACAAAGTTCAGATTGATAATATGCAATTTTCGAAAAGATTTGCCAAGATGACAAAATCGCTTAGAAATGTTGTGAACGAATTAAAAATGTCAGACGACGGTCTGCAAAATGTTTTTTATTCTCGGTATTTTGGTACACAGTTTTTTCTTCAGAGTGGTTTAGTTCGATTTTTTCCGAAATGTCTCGACTCTCAAGACAGTGCATTTCATCAGCCGATTAGTGCAATTCAATTCGCAACTCCATTCAAGTCAGATCACAGTTCAATCCTGCGGTTTACACGATTCGTTTTAAATTTAGCGAATTTTTATTTCGAAAATGTCTAAATTGATCGGCAGGCAATTTTTCCACAGCACAAAAATACAATGATAAACATGTATGAATCACCCGAAGCTATTTAATTCGAAATTTAGGCTAAAAATGGTGCAATGAATGCAATTGGACGTGATCGACTTTTTACCACATGACACAATCATGTGTGATCGTTATATTTATACATATTTGTCTTTTGTGCTGGATCAAAATATAAACGAAAAACATAGCTTTTGGTGTTATTACCAAGAATTGATTTAAATATGACTCTATTCATCAAAGCACATTGGTTTTTTCCAACCACACGTCTACAATTTTAGAAACATTGAAAATAAAATTCACTTTTTCGATAGGAAATGCACAATTGTATAACATTAGCGTTGTTACGTTTATGGTTTTCTAGCATTTACGTTCAGTTTAGATTGTGGTTCGATAAGACGTGTGGCCGATCATTAGAAAAACAAACATTTCACAATTACCAATGCTTAATTAGGTAATTGATTGAACTTGAACCAAATGTTATCAAGAGAACCTCATTGAAATCAACAAATTTGACTTGTGACTTGTTGGTGGCATTTGATTTTTCTTCAATTAAATCACTTTTATCAGCAGAGTGGTATATAATAAACAGTTTTTTTAAGAAACTTGATAAACAAGTTATACAATTTGAGTTTAAAACCGGATTTATTTTCTTGGCCATATAATGAAACAAATGGCTTACGGGTAAATTCTTGTAAATTGTTACTTTCATTGCTTGCCCTTCTATCAAAGACCATCAAACGATAAGTTCATTGTCAAACAGAATTTCATTTATCAGCAACCATTTTCTCCATTCAACTAATTGCATTTCATTCGATCGTAAAATGCACAAAATATAGGGTCATTTCGTATAAATAATAATCGTCTGACCAAAGACAATAAATAAATAAATGCGTGTCACGCTTCGTACACCAAATGGGCTTTATT